AGGAAGAAGAAGAGTAGGAGGAGGAGAAGGAGGAGGAAGAAGAGAAGGAGGAGGAGAAGGAGGAGAAGAAGGAGGAGGAGGAGGAGAGGAAGAGGAAGAGGAAGAGGAAGAGGAAGAAGAAGAAGAAGAAGAAGAAGAAGAAGAAGAAGAAGAAGAAGAAGAAGAAGAAGAAGAAGATTAAAGTTACCATTCACACTTAATGGCTCTTGTGCCATTTATGAATTAGCATCCCTAAGAATTGTCATCACTGAAACAGAAGGGGCTGGGTGCCAAGAAAAGGGCCAGGAGCAGGCCAGCAACCCATCTGGGAAAGACAAGCAGGCAGTCAGAGCTCCATATGAATATGGTGTTCAGTGGTCAATTCAAGTCTCCAAGGGACACATCAGCCATTCCCCACAGAAAGTGGCATTCTCTGGGGGTAGGACCAGGTGGCACCACCACACCATGCTCTTTCTGCTTTCCAGGTGGAAGCAAAGATAGCCCTGTGACAGATGCCTTCTCATTGTAGAAGGGGAAGTATGTGTTCTCTTGGTCAGTAAAGTACAACGCTCTTGGTGTCCTGTTGGTAACACTGATACTATGTTTCAGTAATAATGCCATCTGGAGACAACCTTGAAAAGCCAATGTGTGTTAATTAACCCAATGCTAAAGCCTGTTTCTGCTAGCACTGCCTAGCCTCCTCGACCCCCTTTCCCTTCCCCAGGCTGATTTCTTCTATAATTAAAAGCATTCAGGACTACAGAAGTGGGGGTGGGGGGACACTAGAGCTGTTTTTGTGCAGGGCTTGTTGAGACTGACAGAGGTCAAGCTTGAGCCTCTTGAGGTCACCACAGAAAACCCAAGAGCCTTGTTCTCCACATGCCGGCATCCTTTAATAGGTCTTCAGACATCTCATCAAAGGGTATTGAACTATTAGGCGGCTGTGGCTGTCTGTGTCTCACAGAAGTTTGGTTCCTGACATTGCTGTGTGTATGAGACCCTCGCAAACACTTTGGATCCTTTCCCTAGAACTGTACATGTGGAGACACACCCCAAGAAATGGGTCTCCTGGATTCCTACCGCAAGGTCAGGGATCCCAAAGTAAGGAATAATACTGGTGTGTGGGTAAGCCTTGAAGAGGCTCTAAAATGTGTCAGGAGCACCCGACTAGCTTTCTCCCCCTTCTTCCAGATTCACCAGTATGCTGACAGTCAGATGTCTTGTGTAGTGTGCCTTCTCTCTGTGGAGGATGCACTGAATAGGTTTTTCTCAATACAAAAAAAAAAAAAGGACACATTTAAAAATTATAATTTAGCGCCGGGCAGTGGTGGCGCATGCCTTTGATCCCAGCACTTGGGAGGCAGAAGCAGGCATATTTCTGAGTTCGAGGCCAGCCTGGTCTACAGAGTGAGTTCCAGGACAGCCAGGGCTATATACAGAGAAACCCTGTCTCGAAAAAAACAAAAAATAAATAAATAAATAAATAAATAAATAAATAAATAAAATTTAGCTTGTCCCAGAAAAAGAAGACAAATATTTGAGAGGATTGCAATAGTATTACAATAGTGTGCGTGTGTGTGTCTGCTTGTCTGTGTTGTCTGTTTCTGTGTGTCTCCCCTGAGAGATGAACCACGTGCTCTGTCTGTACCGTCCAATGTCTTTGCTTGCTTGCCTGCAATGACTTCACCCAGATAAGAGCCAGTCTGGAGGTCTCTAGGCAACCCGCCCAAGAAGAAGTTCAGTTAACCTCACCAGCCACCTCATTTGCAGGGGCACAGTCCTGGTGAAGGCACTTGCGCACATGGGGAAGTCTTTTCTGCAGTTCTGGAAAATTCTGATCCCTTCTTATCTCGAAGGACTAATCTGCTTCTTATCGCTAAGCTTCAGTAAACTGCATCTCACTGCGGGGCCTCGTGGGGATTCCGACTGTCGGCAGTGTTTATGTCTCCACCCATTCGGCAGCAGAGAGGAGAGCTCTAAATGTGACAGAATTACCAACCAAGAGAAAAGGATTCCCAAGGGCTGAATCCCTGTCTCCAAAGCACTAAGAACATCCTACACAAAATGTAAAACACAAATCTCAGGCTTTCCTGAAATTTCTCTCTCTCTCTCTCTCTCTCTCTCTCTCTCTCTCTCTCTCTCTCTCTCTCTCCCTCTTTCTTTTGTTTTTTTGGCTGAAAACAGGAAAATGATAGATAAGTATCTGCCAACTGCCAGATCTGGCCATTAGAGAAAATCAAATGGGAAAAGAAAATGAAAAGCAAAAGCATGAAATGCAGCCAAGTGAGGGAACACACACACACATGTGCATACACAAACACACATACACACACATATGCACATAAACACATACATACATACACACATGCACACATACATACATACACACATGCACACATACATACATACACACATGCACACACAAACACACATATATGCACACAATCACACATGTATGGGGAGAGAGGAAAGAACAGGTTGCCACCCTTCCTGAGACTTCTTAAACAGACATGTGATTATTTTTGGGGGGGGCAGTTCTAGACAACACAGGAATTCCTGGAAGTTCAACTAAGGAGAGAACAATTCTATTTCTTCCCAGAATCATCCAACACTGGCTCTATTTCTAGGACTGTGTGTACACAGAGGTTCACAGATTATTCTGCTGACCTGTGGTAGCAACAGTTGCTCAGCTGACCAGAGTTCTAGTTTATTTTCCCAGGTCTGATTTCTTTTCCAGTCACCCTGGAGAGCAACCGGATGATTGACAATATAATACAATATAAAACAATAGAGCAAAAGCCTTTTTTTATTGGGCAGGGCCAAGTGGCCTAAATCACCTCCAATCAGCTTTTTAATATGCATCCTTCTTTCTGCCTTTCTGATGCTGCAACAAGGCTCTCCTGAGCAGTCCCTACGACCCAGGAGACCTAGTTCTGCCACACAGGACCAATGTTAGTCCCCTCAGTGCTCAGAGAGTACTGTCAAGGCAGAGACTATAGTGCATTTATCGAGATAAGGCACTCAGGAACAGTGTATGAGTGAGGTGTATACTGGACACATACACACACACATACACACACACAAACCAGGCCTCCAAACCTTTAACCTTGGGCTCAGATGGCTCAGATTTCAGAATTCTTCATTTGAAAGGGGCAATAGTATATGATATTGCTGAGTGGCGGGGGGTGGGGAAGACCCAACATATGACCCACCACACTGACATTTTTTCCACAAAAATATGTGAATGTTTGCACCTAGGGACTAAGTAAGTCCTGGAAACTGTCTTGCACCCCTCAACTCAGATTCTGCAAGCCCTTTAACTCAGAGCAGTTTGGAACCTACCAAAGTGAAGAAGAAATGTGGGTTTTCAAGAGCTTTTAGGTTTTAGAACTGCAGAAAAATAAACTGTAGACTTGTGACAATGGACATTTCTCGAACACACTGATCCGGGCATGGTTCCATGTTTACAGTAGACCATGCAGATCACAGTGCACGTCCTCGGTCTGACACATCCATTCCTGCTTGTGTAGTATATTTAACGTGAGAAATCTTAATCTTCAAAACAATCCCACAATGCATCACAGTTGTCTCATAGAGTACCCAATGAGCACATGGAGAGGAGACACAGAGCATAAGGCCGGTCACAGAATAGATGAAGTGTAAACACGCACAGGCTACCCAGAGATGGGAAGGTGGACACAGCTGGACGCACATCTGCCCTGTCACATCCTCTAGAACTGCCTGTCTCTACCCCCTTTCCAACATTGCTTCTGTACACCCTCAGTGTTTACAGACAGAACACAAAAGGTGTATGTAGACTCCTTCCCAGGGACAAATAGGCAGGACAGAACCAGATTCAGACTGAAATCATGGTCACAACAATCCCCTGGGGAGTTGGGACCAGGAACTGTAGTCATTGACTTTCAAAGTCCCTGGTCTGTAAAATGTGAATGTGGTCCAGGCGGGATTACAGAACAGCCACACAGAGCCTACATGTTTAAACACACCCAGGAGGGCTAACTTGTAGGAGTTTTCTCTTTATATAAAACATGTTAGGACGTGTGAACAGTGGTCTGCTGGGACACTCCGCAGCTGATACACAATGGAGTGTCGCAAGAGTAATTTAAATACATATATATGTAATATATGTATTTTTCCCTCTTATAGTACCCAGATTTATATTTGACAACTGGTATTCTTGTTAGCTGCTGTAACTCTGCAGCACACACACACACACGTACAAATTAATCTCATTTATTTTTACATTAATTAGTGATTACCATTTTCCTGGATTATTAATAGAAGCTGATGCAGCAAGTAAAAGAAATTAGCCAGTGCTTAATTTGTACCTACTATGGGCCAGGCCCTTAGTAAACAGATACTAGTTGGGGCAGACAGAATTCACATCCTCTGGGCACACATAATTGCAATGGAGAGCAAAATCAAAGCTGCAATTGTTACCAACCAAGGACCATGAGAGTGGCAGAGAGAGAAGTGTGCACTGGGCTTCAACCAATTAGTGATCAGAACTGAAGTGGACCGAAAATTAATTCTACATGAGCTGTTTGAGTTTAATCCCAACAAATTTGTATCATAAAACTGAACTATCGAGAAGAATCGCCAATATGACCGTTAAAGATAGGAACAGGGTCTCCATGTATACAGCCAGTCACTCTGACACATGTTCACACGTCGAACTCGGCCACCCAGGCTCGTGGTTGTGATTAGCAGAAGATTAGCCTGGTCTGTATACACATTATAAGCATCTGATTAAATTGCTGAAGAGTGGAAAAACTAATAGGAGAGGCTGGTTTTCCAGAATACAGTCCCACCAATACCTTGCCCCGCTGCTCAGAGTCAAGATTATCCAAGAGAGCTACACTTGGCAGGAAGCACTTAGCAGGAGAGCAGGGGTGCATTTGAGCAGTGCTAGGGGGATTTTTTTGTAGCAGTAAACAGGGCAAGTACTCAGTGGTCACCGGTGGCGATATGGAGGACCCCTGAGGGTGGGGGTCACTAACCTTCATTCCTTCTTTTCTCATTGACATCATCCCGATTTTATTCAGGACGCTAATATGCCTTGTTCAATATACTCTTCTCGGCCCCCTTGAAGTCGCAGATGGCCGTGTACAATTGTTCTGGTGAGGGGAAAAAAAAACCCAAGTAAACGTCTGTTTGGTTATTTCTTATTAAAAGAAGATACAGTTGATGAGGAAAGCCCTTCCCATCCCTTTCAACACAGACCCAGATGACTGGGACTTAAGCCACCTGGTTATCACCATGACAACGAAAGCCAGCTGTTGAGCAGCAATGACTAGGATCTGAACTAGCCTACCTCCAGATCTGCCATCATGTTAGAGAAACACTCCCCTGCCTGTTTCAGCCACTGTTCTTGGATTTTTCTGTGATGCAACCAAACATTCCCAACAGACTGTCCAGGACAGGAGGTTGTACTTGAAAGTCTGAACCTTAGGCAACGTCACCATAGAGACTGAGCATCCTCCACAATTAGCAATGTGTGTGGGTACCAGGAAGCAACCAGTCTGTTGCACCATGAAATGTGGATCACCATGGGATGCCAAAGCAGGATGGCCGCTGAGGCTGCTGGTTATTCCAGCACATGATCTCTACCCTCTCTTCCACCGGCTGAATCCTGAGTTTGTTCCCTCATGGTACCCACATGTCCTTCTCCAGCCTTACAGGTAAGTACGCCTCATTTCAGACAGCTTGGCAAAGACCAGTGAAAGATGGGTAAGTTGATCTAGGACCTGCCCCCACTGTGTAGACAGCTCAGCTGTTTCTAGCTCCACCCAAGAGGCAGGAGATTTCCGTATGGAACGCAGATAGGCATGAAGTTGACTGTCTTTAAAGCGTGTTCAATTACATTATCAGCACCTTCCGGCTTCTTTGGTCCTCTGTTAAGCCTTCCCTTATAAACAGTGAAACTTTGTTATATACATCCATCCATACATACATCCATACATACATACGTACATACATACGTGTATATATATACACACTTGTTGTATATTGTGTTATGTGGTAGATATACATGTTCATGTGTGTTGCCCCGGTTACGATTACTATTGCTATGTAAGATACCATGACATAGCATACATTACTATGTACACTATGCATGACCAAAAGCAACTTGGGGATTTATTTGGCTTACATGCCAGAGTCCATTGAGGGAAGCCAAGGCAGGAACTCAAACTGAGCAGGAACCTGGAGGCAGGACCTGGCAGAGGCCATGGAGGAGGGCTGGTTACTGGCTTGCTCTTCACGGCTTGCTCAGCCTGCTTTCTTATAGCACTCAGGACCACGAGCCCAAGGGTGGCCCAAACCACAATGAACTGGGTCCTAAGGGTTTGCCTACAGCCCAATCTTATAAAGGCAGGGGTTATTATTATTATTATTAGTAGTAGTATTGAGGTTATCTCCTCTCAGAAGAAAACAGCTTCTGCTAAATTGACATAAAACTAACCAACACACGGGTATATAAATGTATGTGTGATTTTATGTGCACATGTGTGTTGTGCATGTGTGTAGAGGTCAATGTCATATAATTTCTTCAACTACTCTCCATGTTTACTTATTTTTTAAAAGACTATGTGTGTGTGCATATGTGCATGCATCTGTGCATGCATCCGTGCCTCTGTGTGTGTGCATGTGTGTGTGCGTGTGTGTGCAGGCGTGCAGGCATGTGTGTGCGTCTGTGTGTGTCCAGGTACCTGAAGGAAGATGATATAAGGTCTCCAGGATTGGTTGCTGGGAACCGAAGCCTGCTCCTTTGTCAGAGAGGCAGGTTCTCTTAACCACTGAGATAGCTCTCCAGTTCCCCGCCTTTATTTTTGAGACAGGATTTCCCACCAAGTCTGAAGCTCTTGAATTTGACTAGGCCAGCTGGCCAATGATCTTCAGGGATCTGCCTGCCTCCATCCGGTTCCAGCACGGGCATTACAGGCTATTATTATTATTATTTAAAGAAGACAAAATGAATAAGAGTCCCCATATTACAGTCTGGATCTCTCAGAGAGCAAAGGGTACATTTAGAAACTATAAATGGTTCATGAAGGTCTAATATAAAATTAGATAGACAGGCAGGGGAGTAGTCTGTAGACCATGTATCAAAGCGTGTGCGAGACATTCTTTCCAACAGAACGAGGAGCCACCGAGGGAGTACAAACTCGAGGCTGCCATAAACCAGATCTTTTATTTAGAGACATCACAGGGCTGCACCCTGGGAAAGCACACTGCAAGGTGGCACAGGGCCAGCACCACTGGTAAGAAACGAGGCAGGCCTGAGTTACAGCCACGGCAGAAGGCAGATTTGAGTCTTTACCAAAAAGGTTTAATGACAGAATGGACCTAAGGGGTAGGGAGTAAGGCGTTAAAGTGATTCCCAGATCTGACGGGTGGTTCGTGGTGCTGCCCACTGAAGCAGAAATGTAAGGGGGTCAGGAGGGCTGAGAGACGCATGACCTTGTGCATCAGGGGACAGTTCCTGGGCGTGATCACCAGACAATGGGTGAGGCATTGAGTCTGAGCAGTAACTATTCTGAATGCGCTAGCACCTGAAGTCACAGGCTTTACTGAGACCAGCTAATGAAAATGCACAAAGAAAAAAAGATGCCTGAGTGGAACCCCCGAGTCAGGAATGGCACAGACAGCAGCATCCATGAAGAAAATGAAGCGGCCGGAGAAGCAGGAAGCGCTGTCACAGAAGGAGGCGCTGTCACAGTTTAGTATGAAATGTCTCCCACAGGTGGTTGGCCTCTATCAAACATTTGTTCCCTCGGCAAGCGGGGTCTGGACCAGCAGGTAGGACCCAGCTGGAGAAAGGAAGTCACCTTTGATGCTTACATCTCACCCCCGATCTCTTCCTCATGATCCAGTAGTCCCTGTCTGAGATGAGTTCAAAGCCCTCTCTACCCCCAGTACCACTGCACCCTTAGCCCGGAGTCAACAGATCCAAGTGCTATGGACTGAAATCTTTGCAGCCATGTGGCAAAACAAACTTGGGCAGTTTATGTCAGGGATTTAGTAATAACCACATAACGGTAAGTAACACAAGTTGGGTAGGAGAGCATGGTGGGAAGCGCAGCCAGGAGCAGTATAAGGACTGAGTGCTGAGAGCCTTGATGTCTCAGAACTCTGCTCACGTGCCCCTTGCCATCGCTGACCAAGGAGTGGCTGGGACCTTAAGAAGGATAGAGGCCGCCTTGGGCTCGAGCTTCTGAAAGGCAGAGGTGAGGCCAACCTGTGAGTCATAGCATGCCACTTGTCCCCATATTACAGTTCAGATCTCATGCAATAAAGTCGTCGCCTCCAGCCTGTAAGAGGTGGGGGCTTTATAGGAAATGTCTGGACTCCAGCTTCTTCTTCTTTGTTGCTCCTGGCCACCAGGTGGTGAGCATCTTCACACCATCATTCTCCCAGCCTGATCTTCCTCGGCTCCAGAGACCCCCAAACCACAGAACCAAATGACCACGTAGGGAAGGTTCTAAAACTAGGATCGTGAATAAGCTTTTCCTCAACTGGTTTTATCGGTCATTCCGTGGAAGCACCAGCCAGCGGAGTAACATACCCCCGCCATGTGGACTGGGAAGTGGAGCAGAGACTGGGAAGGCATCCACGCTGATGGGTGGTTCTTTTATGCTATGGCTGCTTCTACTCGGCGTGTCTTACTTAGAAATCTAAATTCCCAAAATATATCTAACAGGGGGGCGAGAGCTATGAAAGGCTGTATTACCTGACAGGATGAAGAATGCGCTAAATGAAGATATAACAGGAGGCCGTGGGAGCTTAGGAGAATGGGAGATTAATTTTGGCTGGGTTGAAGCGCCTTTTCCATAAGGCAGGTGGCATCGGAGCTGGCACTTTAAGGACTGGGCTGCTTTCATAGAGAAGGAAAACAGTGTTCTCTAGCTGAAGGAAGGGAGCCAGCAAACATAAAAAAAAAAAAAAAGTAAAAAAAGTACCAGGGAAATGGGGGCAGTCTGGCTTCTGCCCCTACTCAGCAGGTTAACTCTTGTGTGTCGCGCCCCCCCACCCCCAGTTAGAACGCCTTCTTGCCCTGCCGCCACACCCCCAGCCACCCCACCATGGCCCCTCCCACTATGTGTGGAAACGGTCTGTTGATTGGCCTGCATCTCTCACCAGACATTTGCAACTGTGTTTCTTTGTACTTCCTCTGCCTGGCACAAAGCCTGGGTCAGCCAAGAGCTCAACGCTGTTTCCCCAGTTTACAGGGCTCTGGCAGAGCATCCAGGGGAAGAGGGGGAGCCCAGGAGACCCAGGAGGAAGCTGCGAGGAGGTGGGGTGGGGTCTGTGGTTGGCGATGTGCTGATAGTTAAGCTTAGAGTGGTGACTCACAGGAGAGAGAAGAGTAAAACTTTTTAAAGAGTTAAACTGACATATGCATAATCTAAAATGTAACACTTTAGGTTCTGGGGAGATGGCTCGGGGGTTAAGAGTACTGGATGCTCTCCCAGAGGGCCCGGAGTTCAGTTCCCAGCACCAAAACGGCAGCTCTCAGCCTTCAATAACTCCAGTTCCAGAGGATTGAACACCCTATTCTGGCTTCCTCACCCAGTACATGGTGTACAAATATATGTGCAAGCAAAATATCCATACACATAAAATAAATTAACTTAAAAAAATAAAGTTTAGCATTGTCGCCATTTTTAAGCGTATACTTCTGAGGCACTGCGTACATTCCTGCTGTTGCGGCGTGCTCGGGGCCATATCTCAACTTATTCTTCAACTCAAACAAGCTCCACATCCATCAAACCACACCCATCCCCCTCTCCTGGCCATGGCAACCACCGTTTTATTGATGTTTCTACCGCTGTTATTGTTCCAGGTACTTTATACAGTGGGATCCTAGGACATTTGTTCTCTTGAGAATAATACGCACTTTAATGTGGTTTAAACTAAACAACACACTCTGAATTATCTCTTCAGATGTTTATGGGAGCAAAGCATGTACGTGTTGCGTAGTGAGCCTATATCGGATGCTGGGTGGGACAGTTTTCAGACTGAAATACATTTTGATTTTCCTTCTGTCATCCTGCCTAGGACAGAAGAGGGGCTCAGGTGACTTCACTGTAGAAATAAGAAGCTACACTTGCTTTGT